TAGAGTAAGCTACTGCGCTAGTACATGTGCCATTTTGTGGACGCATTTGTAGAAACTGAGGTGTTCAATTGGAGGTTGAAACTCATGTGCGTCTTGATCCGCATGTCCCGGCATGCAGTCCCTATAGCTAGAATTTACGCATTGACTCTGAGTCCTCCGAGTTTATCATCTCTCCACTGAAAGCTTGAACCTCTCTCGACGAATTCGGTGACCATGATGTACAAACTACGGATATAAATTCATATTTCCATTCTCATTGTAGATTACAGTTCCTTGGTCTACTTTGATGCTTCAAATTCAGAGCCTTGTCCGATGATGTTGACGCTAATGTCAATTTCGTGGATGATGGATTCTCTTTGACGGATTCCAGCAGCATCTTGATCTCAAATTGTGGTGACCTTTATTTGAGGGACCGTAGAATCTTTGTTTGTTGTATTTTGGACCGAAGAACCTGATTGCTAATGTTAAGCAGTAAAATCAGGCCAGTTTTCTTGACTTATTTCAGTTTCGAAATGGCAATTGACGATTATTATTGAACAATGGTTCCATAAATTTTCCTCCCAACCGCCATGCGAAGTTCACGAAGCCATGTTTGAACTCGGAGAACTGACCATAGCGAATATTAACACGCCTCAATTTTTGATCGAGTTACGTACTTCCTATCTGAACTTCACATAAGATATCAGACGATGTTATTTCAACGTACGTATCAAGGAGCTCAATCATATTGAAACCTTGTTTATCAATTCGCCAAATACTGTGAAAAACAAAAGATTTGGCACATTGAGCTTTCAATGTTAGTTCTTGTATCTATTTTTAAACTAAAGAATAGAGTCTAAAGTGACGACTTAGTATTATGAAATTGATTAACTTATGCTAGTTATAAAATAATGATCTTAGTTATAAATTGTATAATGCTTAGTATCTAGGGCTATATATTATTATGTTCATTTTACTAGTTGAATCAATATTTCCTCAAATGAATAATATAATTAAAGCAAAGATATGTTTTCCGAGATACAAGAGTCACTTACAATATATGTATAAATTTATCTAAAGCATACACGTTACCTTAAGAATATGTGGAATATAATTGAGAATGACATAAGAACTTAATTCAAGGAATTTTGATGGAGATACACCGGCCAACCGAGGTCTCTACACATGGCCGTCCGATTACCAAGAGACGGGCTATGGAGGAAGGCAGATGATCGTCCGATGGCGTGGATAAGATCGGGAGACTTCTGTGTGGCCAAATTCGTAACGATCAATTTACATGCTTGGAAATACGGAGGCCTATAAACGGACTCGAAGGGAGGGAGCTGTATAGCGCCTCGGTGAACCGTCCAATGCGCTCTCATATTGGACGGAGGAGATGCACCTAAGATACTCCCGGTCGCCCAGCTGTGCGCGCCTGAAACACCACGGAAGGAGAGGTAGACACCGCGCTGCTGATCTCTATAGATCGTCAACTTGTGACTTAACAGCACAAATCGGAAACTCCGGTTTGTCAACTATGTATAGATAGAGCCCTGCGTCCGCTTCACGACGTCCTCTAGCTACTACGTTCGGCCCATCGTAAACAAGACATTCGTGATTATCGAATACAAGAATGTAACCTTCATCTGCAATCTTTCCAACTGAAAGTAGATTCTTGGAAAGACCAGGAACATAGTAGACATCAGGAATATTAATTTCTTCATTTGGGCCAAGATTTACATTACCTGATCCTTGAACAGATAGGCGTTCGTTGCTTGCAGTTTGAACACTTGCCCCAACTTCTGAATTGAGCTTTAAGTTGGAGAAAACATTGACGTGCCTAAATGCTCCCGAGTCGACTAGCCAATCGTCTTTGCCAATCTTCATACTGCTTAAAGCTATATTGAATGCGTCTATCTCCCTTTCGAGATTCTGATGTTCTGATTGTTCTATCACCACGTTCGTCTGAAGAGGTCGACGCATGCTGGAGGACAAGTGCTGACGCTCGCGTATTCGCTTGGTAACCTCATTAGCAAGCTCGCGACAGTTGCGCATGAGATGGTTCATTTTCCCACACCAGTTGCAAGGGCCAACTGGGACACGAGGAGAACCATTGTAATCGGTACGTAATCCACCTGGTCCAATGGTGTCATTCCAAGACATACCGGTTTGGTGAGAATGGTTGCTTGGTCGAAAGTTCGAATTGGAGCTACGGTTGGTGAAGCGGAGCGCCAATGCTTCTTCTTTGGCGGAGGTTGTAACCTTCTCACGCATGTTGTTCCGACTCTCATCTTGTAGGAGTCTAGCTGCAACTTGATTGAATGTGGGCAAGTCTTCGCCGTTGCAAAAGCTTTGGTAGATGGCATCAAAACTAGGTGGTAGAGAATTCAGCATACGTTCTACGATTTCTTCTTCAGACGCTACATGACCAATGCCTGCTAACTCGACACGTACTTCCTGAATTTGACTTAGTGTAAGCACAAAACTGTGCTCACATGTCTTTTTAACCTTGTGCAAGTTAAAGTTTTAGATTTAAGCTCTTGCAAAATTATGCTCGGAGTTTTCTGGAAGTTTTGGTAAGATTAGGAGTTGGTGTAATAGCTAGTAGGCAAAGGTCCGGAACGGGGCTTTCAGGGCAGGGTCTCCGGCGAAGAGCCTTCGGTGAAGTTCCTTCGGGGAAACAGTGAAACCCTCATAACGTTTTCAATGTGTGACGCCTTGACTCAGTTAGTGTCTCTTTGGAAAGAGCTCGCAACGCTCGTTCCAACGAGACCAAGAACTCTTCAAACGGATGAGGAATCACTGAGTTGTGAGTGTCGGAAGTTACTGATGGGAAGGGTTGAGGCAAGTCCGGCTGCGAACGCCTTAGGCTCCGGACGTCTTCGGTTCCGGACGTCTCCGGCTGCGAACGTCTTCGGCTCCAGACGTCTCCGGCTGCGAACATCTCCGGCTTCGGACGACTTCGCGACAACTGCGAGCAGGCCTTCGGCGAACTCGGAATCGGCGAACTTGGGGTCGGCGAACTCCGAGCCGGTGAACATCGTGCAAGGGCCATCGGCGAAACAGTAAACTCGGCATATCTTTTTCATTTGTTAACGGTTTGATTTAATTAGGGTCTCGTTGGAAAGAGCTCGCGACGCTCGTTCCAACGAGACCAAGAACTCTACAAACGGATAAGGCTTCACTGAGTTATGAGCGTCGAAAGCGGCGGATAGGGTAGGACAACATCCAACCGGAAGACATCCAACCGGAAGACATTGAACCGGCGAACATCGTGCCGGCGCCTTCGGCGATAACAGGTAACAGGCCTTCGGCGGTGTGCCTTCGGCGAAGGGTAAAACGGGCATAACTTTCTCAATTCGTAATGGTTTGACCCAGTTAGGGTCTCGTTGGAAAGAGCTCAACCTGCTCGTTCCAACGAGCCCATGAACTTGTGAAACGGAGCTAGGATCTGTGAGTTATGGGTGTCGAGAGTGACTGTTATGGATAAGCAAAGGTGTGGTCGTGCGTCTTCGGCGGGTGGATGCCTTCGGCGGTGCGCGGAAGAAGATTCCCTCCGGCGGAGATCGGGTGGTCAGGAATGTAGAATGTGCAGGTGTGGCAGCGGCGGCGGCGTGAAGTCAAGTGGGGGAGGCAAGACGACGGTGCATGTAGTCGCGCAAGGGGAGTAGGCAGCTACCCATCATTGCGAGTGTTGCATTTCAGCCGGGCTGTGGGTGTCTCGGCCTTGGACTTCGAAGTGGGGAGTTCGGCCTGGTAACTTAGAGCTTTGGGTGTACCAAGGTGTGGAGACGGAGGTGAGTTCGGCCTGGGAACGGAGAGCTGGTGGTGTGCGTGTGTGGAGACGGAAGTGGTGAGAATTAGGAGGGGAGTGTGGAGAGTTCGAAGTAGGAGGAAGCAAACTCTCGTGGGTGGAGAGTCGTATCAGAGAGTGAAATTTGAGTGGGATCTGAGATTGAAGTGTAACATCTGTGAGTGGGATCTGAGATCAGAGTGGAAGATCTGAGAATGGGAGCTGAGAGTGAAGTGAAATCTGAGACTGAGATCTGACAGTCGGAATCTGAATTTGGTACTGAAAAGGCAAAGTTGAATCTGAGAGAGGAATCTGGTGGGGTCTGAAGGTGGAAGCTGAGAAATCGACACTGAGGTCTGAGTAGGAATTGGGACTGGGACTGGGATCTAGGATAGATCACAGCGGCTGTGGTGTTGAAAAAGTCACCCAGAGTTGAGTTAGATCTTTATGTAACAAAGAGTTTGTCTGCTGCCCTTGTGGAGATAGCAGACAGCAAGTTATCATTTTCCGTTCTGGATAAATTGTCTGTGAACGAGCAAGTGTTTATGATCTCGTTGTCTTGGATACACTTTGAGCACCTGGCTTGCGATCAAAGAAGTTAGATTATGGGAGTTCGAACCCCCACCCGGACTACAAACGCTGAAGGGTGGGAAGGTTTGGCTCACACTTAGGTAATCTGAAACTGAAGCACCTTCTAGGAGGCGGATGGAATTTAGTTTGTCCTTCAACATGAGTCTAGATGCATTGTTTCCACTTTGAAAGTAGTTTTGCAATCTAACCCATGCATCTCTAGGATTTGTACACTCGGCAATAATAGGAAAAATCTCATCTTGAAGAGACAGCCCTATCGTAGCAAGAGCTCGAATTTTTCCTTGTGAGATATCATCACCCTCATCATCGGATCTTATCTCATCGTCCACCTTAGGGTCAGTGAATCGCCATGAATTCTCTCTGATCAATATCATTCTCATCTTGAACTTCCAGGTTTGGTAGTTGACGTTTCCTCCCAACTTATTCGACTCATGAACAGTATAGAAGCTAGACATGATTACTATGATTGTAGAGAAAACTGACTTGAATAGGAGCAGTGCTTCACTACAATATAAACGCGTAAGTCTGAAGAAAAGGTAGCAGTGCTCACCAAGTGAATACACATAAGTACTGAAAAACAAAACATAAAGGAGCAGTGCTCACCTAGTGAATAAACGAAAGTACTCAAAAACAAAACATGCAGGAGCAGTGCTCACTACAACACTTTGATAACCTTGAACCTCGCGCTGATACCATGTAGAAATGAGTCAATCCATCACTCGGGTTTTTTGGATATTGAAAAACACTTGCTTAAGTACATATACACAAAGGACGCCAAGAGGTTGCGTGCTTAGGATTTAGGCGGCGGCTAGTTAACCTAAAGTACCAAGTGGCCTCGGTACCTCTCTAACACTGTCACAGTTCATTACGAACAACCTAACAGTGATCAGGTGTGATTGTAGGTACAAGACCATTCAACAACCAAATCCTCGCCTTTTTTGGTCGATCACGGCTCAGTGTGAGTGATCTGGTTCCTCCATTTTCAAAGTTGTAAAGTTCTGCAAGATTTGATGATGTGGTAGCATATTAGACCACTCTGTCTCTCTCTCAAAAGTGTTCCATTCGAGCAACCGATGTGAGAGCACTTCTGTCACGAGGGCTTTGTTCTTGTCTACTATAATTGCGAACTTCATTGCGTTGAAGAGACCGAGATATTGGGTATAATAGGGAGCCTATAGCTCTTGTTTTGGCTCAGAGTGATGCTCTTCCTTCTGTTTTGGATACTGGACCTTGCAGGCCTTGAACTCCGGGTATGAGGCAGAAGGTTGGCACTTGAAGCCGTCTGCACAATGGGAATCCTCTTTGCAGTAGCACTCGCGGCGGAGTGCACATTTGTCCCCGTAAACAGGCCCCCGTCTCTCCACCATGCGAGTCACGAGCTCAGGCTCGAAAACCTTGTTGGGATCGTGCTTCTTCTGCAGCTCCAGCATCTTGGGGAAATTTTCGGGAGGAAAATTGTCCCGCACATGGCACTCTGGATGGGCGAACAAACGGTCGAAGTTCTTACCGTAGTGCGGCCGAGCTCCATACTTGCAGAGCCCCACCTGCTCAATGACCTCCGCGATGTGATCCAGCTTCGTGGGAAGATACGAACTGAAACCCGAAACCAAGAACGACGTCATGAAGTACAGCACGGGCTCTTCAAATCCGGCCGTAGTAGCCAACAAATTCTGAGTCCCTTTTCCAAACCGAATCCAGAAAAATCCCGGAGGCAGGCAGACGCTAACCTTCCCTTTCCCATACCTCCGATCGAGGTACTCCTGCTTCTCCTGCTCCTCGGCCTTGATGATGCTTCTGACGTCGTCGAGGAATTCCTCCAGGCGACTGAGCCGGATGTGCAGCTCGTTGTCTTCTACAGAATACCCGCCAGACTTCACTTCCCAGATGCAATGCGGTGAGCATTCTTCGGAAAATGTCGCATGCGAGCTCGGGATGGTGGCATTGTACAGAACCGAAGTCTCGTCTCTGAACCCGGGGAGATTCATCAGACTATCGCCCAGAGCGCAGCCCTGCGCATTGAGGAAATCAGATTGGGGCCCGGACTCGTCGAAATCCGCCGTGTACGCAGCGAGATAATCCGTCATATTGCTCTGCGGGGGCGCGGGCGACAGCATGCCGCCGCGACCGTCGGGCCAATATGGATGTCGCGGGACGTCGCCCGCCTCGAGGGGCTTGTAGTGGTACGCTTTGTAGTAGCGCAGGTCGGGGCGCCAGAAGATGAGGACGTGCGGCGTCGAGGTCGCCAACTGCGACCGGATGTCGGCGGCCAAATTCGCGTCGTCACGCACCCACGTCTCGACCTGCGCCAGCGACCCCGCGGGCAGCAGCTGCAGGGTGAGCTCGGTCATGATCCCCAGCAGGCCGAGGCCGCCGATGAGCGCTCGAATCTGCTCCAGCCCCGTCTCAGTCGCGACGTCGCTGTGGATGATCGCGCCCGTCGAGTCGACCCACTTCACGCCGGTGAGAATGTCGCCCAGTGAGCTCGCGACGCCAGCGCCGGTGCCGTGAGCCGACGCCGCGACCAGGCCGCCCAGAGTGAGGTTGCCGTAGACCGGGAACACGCCCACGGGCACCGACAGCCCGTTCCGCACCGCGGCGTCCGCCAGGTTCTGCACCGTCATGCCCGCCTGCACGGTGAGGCGCCGGGCCTCGTAGTCGACCGCGACCACGTTGTTCATCCGATGTAGGAGCAGCGTGACGGACTGCGCCGACGCGGGGGTTGCGCTGCCGCCGCTCCATTCGGGGTTCTGGCCGTCGGGCAGCCTGGCGCTAGCGCTTGCGCCCGGGCAAGCGAACCGGTTGGGCGTGTGCCTTCCTCGTCGCGTCGCGCGCACCTTGAAGGGCCTCCCGGCCTCGTGCAGCTCTCGAAGCACATCGCTCACTTCCTGCGTGCTGCCGGGCTCGGCGTGCCAATCCGACTTGCATCTGATGAACCCCGCAGCCGAGTAGAGATTGGTGGAGTCGTCGACCGCCGTGAACGTTTCGCTCGGAGCATCGTGCAGGCCATCGATTTTGGCCTCCTCCGCCACAACAACAGCTGCGAGGGTGGTGCCCACGACTGTCAGCATAAGGAGCACGATGCGTACGGTCTCCATGCGCTGCATCTGCCCCTGCTCTATCTCTCACACCTGCAGATGGTCACCAAATGGCAATTCTCAGCACGAACTGCATTGATTGGAAACCTTCCGCAGCTCGACGCTTGTATCTGACTCGTGACAGGAGTTGTTTATTTTATGGCCGCTGCAATGAGGCTGCTGCTCACTCACCTGCACAGAACACGGACTCCACGCCGGATCGGCTTTAGCATCTTGCCTCGTTCGGTCTCTTTCGAACAGTATCAGCTCTATTGGACGAGCTCTGAAGACTGATAACACATTCGTCCTTCTCATTTTTCGAATCCAATCAGACGAACCTCTGACCAGAGCGTCTGATATTTTCAGTGAATCACGTACTAGACAAATCTTACGACAGAAGGTCAGAGAAGGCTTGTCCTAATGTTTTCTGCTCAAGCGCCACTACAAAAGAGTCCAGAGTCCTTCCATCCGGGCATCTTCAGCGCGACCAGTCTGCTCACAGTCAGTGAAAATTATCTGAACACTACAAAAGAGTCCAGAGTCCTTCCATCCGGGCATCTTCAGCGCTACCAGTCTGCTCACAGTCAGTGAAAATTATCTGAACACTACAAAAGAGTCCAGAGTCCTTCCATCCGGGCATCTTCAGCGCGACCAGTCTGCTCACAGTCAGTGAAAATTATCTGAACACTACAAAAGAGTCCAGAGTCCTTCCATCCGGGCATCTTCAGCGCGACCAGTCTGCTCACAGTCAGTGAAAATTATCTGAACACTACAAAAGAGTCCAGAGTCCTTCCATCCGGGCATCTTCAGCGCTACCAGTCTGCTCACAGTCAGTGAAAATTATCTGAACACTACAAAAGAGTCCAGAGTCCTTCCATCCGGGCATCTTCAGCGCGACCAGTCTGCTCACAGTCAGTGAAAATTATCTGAACACTACAAAAGAGTCCAGAGTCCTTCCATCCGGGCATCTTCAGCGCTACCAGTCTGCTCACAATCAGTGAAAATTATCTGAACACTACAAAAGAGTCCAGAGTCCTTCCATCCGGGCATCTTCAGCGCGACTAGTCTGCTCACAGTCAGTGAAAATTATCTGAACATAGTCAGTGAAATTATCTGAAATTATCTGAAAAAAAAAATTTAAAAACATGAAGATTATCATGCTTAAGTATAAAGCATGAAATTAATGTTGAATTGAAGTATCTCAATATTAATTTGATAATGATTTGAAAAATTTTCAATCAAAATTTTCAAAGAATAAAAAAAATCATTCAAAGAATTGTAAAAGATATTCTTAAAAACTCAGTATATTAAAGTAAATTTATTTCATTTATAAAGATTACTAAAATAAGAAAAACTGATAAAGTATACATTATCATCAAATTAAAGAATAATTTTTTAAACATGAGTTCTATTTCTCATTTTATATTTACATATAAATTCCTAAAAATAAATTTATTTTAATTAAATGCACTATATATATGATCTGATTTATAGTTAAAAAAATTTAATTTAAAAATTTATTTAGTATTAAAATATTTCATGTGACTAAATTTAAAAGATTTAAAATTTTAAAAATCTATGTAAATTTTTATTTTAAAATAATCTCGGAATCAGACTCCAAAAAATACCAAAAATCAATACATTGAATTATTCTAATTATTTTTTTGTTCAATCAATTGAAATTTTAATTTTAATATTATTTTCAAATATGTTTATAAAACTCTATGAAGTTTTCATAATATATATATAGAGAATCAAAATTTTAGATGTATTAAATCTTTTTTAATAATATTTAGTCATTTTTATCAAGATATTTAGATTTGATAATTTCAAAATATATTATCATCACAATAATTATGAAATAAAATTATTATGTTGTATTGAATTTACAAAAAATTAATTTATCTTGAAAAAAATAAAAAATATTATAAAACTATGATATAATATTCAATCAAATTTTTAAATCAATTAAGAAAAATAAAATAGACAAAGTGCGCAAGGATGTTTTTTTTGCGTCGCGTCTTTTTTTTTTAATGCACTCCATAAATATGATTTTTGAGATATGACAAGCGTCATCAAGTTGGACTTATCAGATTCTATCATGTCTTTGCATGATGAAACTTGAGGGTTATTGATTTTGTCTAATTTTTTCTACTTTGTTGCATATAAGGGCAACAAAGTGAAATCCACGTCTAAGTTTGAGTATTCATACACAAAGACAAGTCCATGATTTTGTCATTGACCTCAATGTAATCTTGCACACATAACATCTATTTGTGAAATATTACAAAATTCAAAAGAAAATCTATCAAAGATACTCCTCAATTTGGGACAAAAATGTTCTCATGTGAACACTTGAGCCTCATGGCCAAAGTACCTTTGTCACAATAGGGAGTTGTCTCCCCCACACTACAGCTGATAGGAACAATCTCTATCCTATACTATATCAGTCAACTACAAGAATTTTGTTTGGAATATGGATAACGATGGGCTGCATGAACATCAAGAGTGATCCAATAGAATAAAATGAATCATGTTGTATCCAAACAAGTGTTTTGACTTCTACAGTAGTGCGTTTTAAGTAATTTTTGGAAAAAATGTAAATTTTTAAATGATTTATAATGGGCAATGTTAAAAGAGCCACACAAATTGTTAAAATGATCACACAAAGACTAGAGACGCGTCTCGTGGTTACATGACATGTCAAAATAAATTTTTTCTCACAAGCCCAAGTATCGGCTGCGAGCATGTTTTTGGCTTTTCCACTTCTTCTTGTGCAAAAAACATACTTCCATTGCTCTGCAACAAAGGATTCACCAGCTCAGGTTGAAGACCACATGAAGAATCTCCAATTTCAAGCAATTGAACTTCAGACTCTTCAAGATGTGATCATTTAAACATTTCTCTTTTTAATTGAAGTTTTATCATTATTATATCATTGATTTATTTTAATTGTTAGATGATGATTTTAGCATATATGCAATTATATGTGTAATGGAAGCAATATGAATTGTTAGAATGTGTCCATAATGATAATTTGATGTTAAAAATCTATTTTGAACTATACACAATTTGATGATTTGTTTCAATGTTATCAAACATCACTATATATATATATATATATATATATATACATCTTTGTACTCATCACTGGAAACTACAATCTTGCAAACAACTAAGACTTTACAATGAAGATTCCAATTGCTAATCTCGGCTCCTTTGTCATTTATGAAGTGACTACTAACTTGTTTAACTAAACAAGATTAAACTAAACAAAATGAAATGAAAAACTAAGTTAATCTCTAACAATGATTTAAATATTGTTCGTAATATGTGTATCATCTTCTAAAGAGAAAAAAATACTTAACATTATACATTATAATTCTATTCTGATACATGATAAATAAAGATTCTTTACAGATCTACCTATATATCACCAGTTAAATTAGACTTTATAATGGTGAATGATGCATTTATGAATAACTCAAGTAGTAATTTAAAAAAAATCGACAAAAAAAATATTACAAAAAGATTGAAGTTAAATATATCTATTCTGGATGAAATATATACATAAATTTTGGAGTTGGCTTATCAAGAGATACTTATATGCCAACTGCAAAATGATGGAGATAGTTTGATATGGCAATTCCCAACTGAGGGGATAAAGATTATGTTGGAAGAGTGAAGGTATTGACTCACCATTGAGCTACTAACCAATCGCAACAATATATTTTCAAAAGCAGTAGGATTTAATGTCCAAGTATCCTTTCAACAGCATTCAATCAGGATAATGTCCAAGTATCCTTTCAACAGCAATCAATCAGGATAATGTCCAAATTATGCTTCTCCGTCGCAAAAAGTAGACTACCACCTAACACATCAGCGGAGCCATCATATTACCTCCAGTATATCCTGTCCAATAACAGACAATCCCGAAGACACGGAATTGGATAGAGATCTAACTAAGATCTTACTATCAAGAAGTTAATTTTTGGAGAGTGATATACAGTTTAAAGATAGCTTGATGAGAGTGATGGTTAGGTTACATACCCGGGGGTTTAGTTTCGCTGGGGTTAGTTAGAAGGAAAAGGGGATGGGTCATATGACCGATGTACTGCATATGAGTTAAACGAAGGACTTTCTGCGGAAGCAAGCGTGGGACAGTGGAAGCTCTGAGGGCCTGCATGTCGCGCGAGCACGGGCTGCTGTCGCCGGCGGCGACGCCTTGCACGCGCATGCCATTATCAAATCCAAATGCACAAAGCTCTTGAGAAGATGTTGGGCCCTTCTTGTCCGTTGTGCGGGTGTACGAGACGGCCACCGATCAAGTGAGTGAGCGCGGACATTCGCGTCGGTGTGGAAAAACAATGCATTGCTTGTCAACGTCTGACAGAGGAGGCGGACGAACAGCAAGAAGCTGCAGCAGAAGACGAAGAAGACGAAGCTTCAGGGGTTTCGCCCTGTGCGATTTCAGTTTGATCTCGCTGCTGCTGCTGCTGGTTGTTGTTGTGCAGGCGTCCGGTGTGAGTGCTGGGAACGAGTTTAATGTCGTAGGCGTTCGTCATTCCGGGGCCAGCCAGGAAGGAATCGAAGTTGAGGAGATCCCGGAGCTTGGAAGAACAGCAGGGAGAGCAGAGCGGGTACCGAAAATGCCGAGGCCGGTTCCGTAAATGACTTCCTTGATAACGCTGGGCCCGGTGCCACTAGTGGCAGTTTTCACCGCGTGCTGAGCCAACTTTGCCTGCGCCATCTTGCGGTGTCGAGGTCTGCGCTGCCTGTCTTCCCTTGCCCTGGCAAAGAGATCGATGGATCCAGAGAGTGCTGCCTTGGCCTCTGGCTCGCTCTCCTTCTTCTTCTTCTTCTTGCTCGACGCCTTCCGCCTCGGCTCCTTTTCTCCTTTGCGCGCTGTCTTCTGGGCTCCACGTCGGGACCTTCGCACTTCCCTCCGCAGTCCACTTTGGACGCTGCACGGTTCTCTTTACGTAGTCCACGTTTCCGCCGTCTTGTACCCTTCGACGTCAATTTATGATCCACGTTGCTGGTCTGTTGTTTTTGTCATTTTGATGTGAGTCAGCTTAGAACTTTGACTATTTACGTAGATGCTTATAAAAATTCACTTAATCTAATGCCGTGTTGCTCTGATTCGAAACACTTGAAATGTGTGCGAACTTAGCTCACCTAAATGGTTTTGAAAAAAAT